TAGTAGATGCTCAATAAACATTTGTTGACCGAATCATCAACATAAACAGCTTTGTGGCAGTAAGGTAGACACCAAGTTTCATGGGCTTAGTGAGAGACTAGTTTAGAGGCTGGGGTCATTCACAAAGAGGCAAGAAAAAAGCAGATGTTGGACCTGAAATAGTCTAGAATAGGCTGGGAAGCCTGTGACGAATCCACAGGAGATTAATGAAAGGATCACTAAATAGGGCTCAAGGGGAAGCTAGACACTGAGCTTGTGGTAGGGTTGGGGAGGTAATGTCCAGCGCAGGGCCTTAGGCAAGCATGTCGCACACCCTGGAAGACCCTTGAAATATCCATTCTGTCCTCGTTGAGAGGCCCCTGGTTAGTTACCACCGAATGCTATTGCAGATTGGCTCTGCGGAGTCAGTTTGCAAGGCACTGGCTTATTGGCCCGTTGGTGGGAGCCTAGGAACTAAGAAGACACTTGGGCTTTGTATTGACCCCATGTCCATTTGTTTGCCGTCTTTCCTTCCTTTTATTCCTTCACCAACAGTCAATACTGAGCGTTTACTCAGTGGCAGCCTGTGAGCAGGGTGCTGGGGAGGCAAACATGAGGAAGGCAGTGCCTTCCCTCGAGGGCAAACTCCCCCATCACTGTGCCTCCCAGAAGTCCTGGATGACAGTCCTGATCCGAACCCTGCGCTGGTGCAGCAGATGGGCGGCATGGAGGGGGAGCAGGAAGGTGATCTCTGGGCAGATTTCACAGTCAGGAAAAAGCAAGTTTGTGATTGTAGGGTCTCACGCCCGCTTATTTTGGTAAACTTTAACTCTATTATTTCCTGGGTTTGGTTCTCTATTGTTTCTCCCTAGGTTTTTGGCTACAGACAGTTCTTTTAAAATTTATAGCCTTTCTTGGTTGAGCCAAAGGAAACAAGAATGGAATGGAAGGTTCAGACCGTTCGAGTCAGAGAGAAAGTCAGGCAGTAAACCCTGGTGCCAGGTGCCATGGGCACAGCACCAAACGGAAGAGAACTCAGAATGGGCGCACCTGGAGACCCACCTACACAGTGCTTTTCTGTTCTGTTCTGGGAAGGTTTTGTGTTTTCTTTCGAGCATGCAAACTGTTGAGAGAGATGTGGCAGAAGGGGAAGTCAGAGAGACTAGAAGAAAGAGAAGAACTCCATGGGCCGTTACTGGCTTTGAACATGAAGGGGGCCAGGAGCCTCAGCCCCACGACCTACCGCAAGGAATTGCATTCTGCCTGCGACCTGCATGAATGTGGAAGTGGGTTCTTCCCTCGTTGACCTCAGACACCTTGACTTCGGCTGTGCGAGACCTTAAGCTGCAGGCCCAGTCACGCTGTGCTGGACATCTGACCCATAGAAATTGTAAGATAATGTGCTGTTTTAAGCTGCTAAAAAAAAAAGGAAACTGTTCTGTACAAGGAGCCTGCAGCCTTTCCCTAGGAGCGCAGCTCTAAGTTAGGGTAGAGGAGGCTGTTGATGGCGGCACTTTCTTTCCCCCCACTGGCGAGGCACTCACTTAGGAATTAAGTGGAAAGTCTCCCAGAGGGCAGGGGAGTTCTGGTGCTGGAGGGGAGGAGGCCATGAGATGTGCCCTTCCCATGAGATGTGCCTCTAGACTGGTGCCCAGTGCAGGGGGACATCCCCAGCCCAGAGGAGACCTGCCTTCTGAGTGAGCTTCGCCCCGGCCTGCTGGGGGCTGCTTCCTGGGGCTTCAGGGTGCTGTAGCGCAGGAGCAGGGAGCGGGACTCGGGTAGAGAGAGGGCAGGGAGTGAGGCTTAAGGAGGGAGGCACAGTCCCCGGCAATCCCAGGCCCTCCTTCTACCCATCCTCCCCACGCACTTTCTCTCGCCCATCCTGGCAACAGGGGTCACTTTCTGTGGGATCATGTGTGATCCCAGCTGCATCCACAAGCGCAGGCTCTGCCCCCACAGTGGCCTGGGGACTGCCCAGAACAGCCCAGGAGGTACTGATCAGGTGCTGGTGGGCTGGCCCTAGCGCTCCCAGAGTTGGGGATGAAGAGTCCTTCAACTATAAAGGAAACTCCCTAAACGCAGTTCTCCCCGGAGGTAGGGAAATCTGCTAGGAAGAGGGACCAGAGGCTTTCCTATCCTGACCGGTTCTGAGATTCCCTCCAGAGCCTCCAGTTGTCCCGCTGCTACCATGGCGCGGGCCTCAGGGGGGCGCTGCTCCCCCGACAGTCTGGCTCAAGGCAGCCAGGTTGGGCCCAAGATATCTCCTTTAGATTGGCTTGCACTGAAGTCCCTGAAGGGGCAGCGGGGTCACTAGAGGGGCACAGCTTTACCACTCTGCTCTTCCTCTCAACCCGACAGACTGCTCCCCTGGGCTGCTAGGTGTCAGCCCCTGTCCCTTGGACAGGAAGGTGTGCCTGTCCCCAGCCCGCTGGCCCAGGAATCCCCAGGTGAGCAACGCAGTGAGGTGGGTGGGGCCTGTCCACATGCCCGGATGTTCCCCCAGCCCAGTCTCTGCACCTTCCCATTCTGATTTCTGTCTGGCTCCTCGGTCTCACGTCTCTTGTGAACACTCCTACAGCTGCATCTTCAGGATGTCAAAACTGTCTCCCGTCTCCCGACCACCTCATTCTTCTTGGGCTCTCCCTTTCCACTGGCCCCTCTCTGCCTCTCCTTCCTGGTTAACCAGCTGTGTAATGAGCTGCCAGGGCTGAGCTGATGGATGATGGGCTTTCCCGTTGCTCTGCTCTTCCTCCCCCTCCCTTTGTTCCCCTCCCCTTTCCAGCCCCTTCTCGCCTCTCCCTCCACCACATATTTTATCCTCAGGGAAGGGCTCGGCGAGGGAAAGGGCCTTTGGATAAGCCAGTGGAGGAGGTAGATAGGGAAGATAATAGGGGCAGTGCAGGCAGCTCCTGCAGATAAGGATATCCTGGACTCCCTCAGAAGTGCTGTATGAGGGAGCATGCTCCTGATCCTCCCCACCTTCCTTGTCCCTGACAGGGCCATGCCCGGAGGTGGGTAGAGAGGCAGCAGGGCATGAAAGAACAGCTGGGCTGGGGACTTACAGCAGTAAGAACTTAGTTTGCATCTCTGACAGTTATTAGCTGCATGGCCTTGGGCAAGTAAGCCTCAGTCTCTCCATCTGTAAAGGGCAGATACTATCTACCTCAGAGTGCCTTGCACCAAATGTAAGCTCAATATATGTTGGCTCCTGTGCCTGCTGTCAGGGTGCTGGGCCACCCCTGAAGTCTTCCCCGCATCCTGGATTCTACTCAAGAGCTAATTCTTTCCCATGAGCCCCTCTATAGGCCAGGCACATTCACACCCACAATGTCATGTTGTCCCTGTTTTTCGAATTAGGAAAGCTGGAAGGCAGAGAGGTTAACAGTGACCAGAGTAATTGTAGGTAGAGGGCTGAGGCAAGGAGTCAGAGTGCGGAGCCTCAGGACACGGTGTGCCAGCAGCGGCAGGTTGCAGAGAAAGGGTTTGCTGAGAAACGCAACTGAGCAAGAGCTTCTAAGTGGCCAGCTCTGCTCCTGCCTGTCACTTGCTGGGTGACCTTGGGGAAGTCCTTTTCTCTGAGCCTGTTTCCTTTTCTTCATCTTGCAGGTGGCATGGACCACATGCTTTGTGAGGTCCCTTTCTGCCTTCGACGGTCTGTTCCCTCCCCTGCAAAGGGACCCGGCAGGCCTGCAGCTCAAGGCCCTTCAGAGGCCTAACATTTAGTTCTCATTTTCTTCACCCTCCAATTCCTCATCCCCACCCCCATCTGTTCACTTGGGGCTTGTAATCAATGAGTCGTAAAATGAGAAAGTAACAGGAACTAGCAAAGCATGGAGAACAGCTGGGGCAGTTCCCGTGCCTTCGAGTAGGATGGACGGCCAGTCTGTCACCTCATGCCCAGCTCAGGCCATCAGGCCAGCAGTGACTCACCCAGCCTGGTCCAGGGGGGCCCCCAGCTAGAGATCAGAGTGTGGAGGCCTATTTTCAACCAGTCCAAAGGCCTCACCTTAAAACGAGTAATGAAATCTGTGTATTGACATGGAAAGGTGCAGCCAGGATGTGTGGTTGAGTTGTAAAAGCAGGTTACATGATAAAGTGATCTCATTTATGTTATTATATAGAAGCGTTTGTACATATATAAAAATATGGGCGAGGAGGCTCCAAACTGTGAATAGCAGTTATCTCTGGAAGCAGATTATAGGGAAAACATTCACTTTCTACTTTATACACTGTTCCTTTGTTGGACCCCTAAAACAAGCATATATTTATAATATGGTTTTATAATAAAAAAAGGAGATGATTTTATAATAAAGATATTTCCATTATGGAGGGAGGGGCTTGTAGAAATTTGCATGAGCTAATAAAAAATGCTCAGTGTCTCTGCTTCAGGCTGGAATTTTATCATCCTAGGGAGGGAAGGCCAGTGAATGCCTGCTGATCCAAAGCACTAGATCTAAAATCAGAGCACAAAGAGTTTGATTTTTAAAAAGAGAAAATCAACAATCCCTCAATGAGTCTGGTTTGTAAGATAAAAATCTGTCAAAATATGTGATACTTAAGACAAAAGGGAATAACTGTAATGAGGTCCTTGGTGTCCGCAGCCCAAACCTGCACTCAGGGGTCTGGGCAGTCAGGGCAGAGGGCCCCTCACCCTGGCACCAGACGGCTTGAGGGCTTGAGAACGGAGCCCACATCAGCACTGTGATCCAGCCACTCTCCCCCAAAGAGATGCAGCTTCCCTCCAACCGGTCTGAGGCCACTGCTTTCTCCTGCGATCAAGCGCAGGACAGGTGGGGACTCTCCCTGAGCCAAGGACCCAGGCTCAGGCACACGGACAATAAGGGGAGGTAGTGAAGGGTCGAGAGGGTTTTAGCTTACATCAGAATAGGTATCTGGTGAGAGGGGAGCCTGGGAAGGGGTCGGAGGGCTGTGGGAGGTCACTTGGACTGCAGGATTCTGTTGGTGCCCAGATGACTGATTCTACTTCCCCCTCCTATGGAGCCAGCACAGGGGCTGAAAGATGCAGTTAGACATAAGTTAGTTTATTGGTGGAGCTGCGGCGAAGTCCTCCCTCTCTCTGGGATAGCCGAGGGCACAGCACCAACAGAGGGATGGACACAGACCCCCAGACAGACACATGGATAGTGCAGACTCATAGAGACCATAGCACAGCCACACAGGCACAGAGACACACAGGCCACAGCACCAAGAAACACACACGCACGCGCACACACACATACACACACACACAGACAAAACCACAGGGCCAGAACACACGGACAAAGTGTGAGCTTTGGGGCTCCTGCATAGACAGAGCAAGGGCCACGTGGGGAGGGGCCTCTGCTGACCTCCCCCAGGCATAGGCACACTAACAGCACAAAGATAGGCAGATGCCCCAAGCCAGCCAGCCTGCCACACAGACAAATGGACTGCATGGAAGGGACGCTTGCAGCATCCCAGGCCGTGGAGAGCAGGGACCAGGGAACCTCCACACAACCCCACTGCACTGATTTCCTGCTCATCTCAACTCCCGAACCACTTCCCCCCACACACTTTGGTCTTGCCTACTGGGACTGGGGGCTGGGGAGTCGGCAGGTGGGAAGAAGGCGAGAGGAAGGAGAAAGGGGGAAGGGCCTGGCTCATCCCTGCTCTGTGAGCAGGGAGGCAGGTGCTGAGAGTCCAGGGCTGAGCCAGGGCCTGGCAGTGGGGTGAGGGCTGGGCCAGCTCAGGCTTGGGGGGGTTCCCGGCAGCGCAGGCACTGGGCCATCTCGGGCTGGTACTGCTCGACCTGCAGGGTGGAGCTGGAGAATCCAAACCGGGAGTGGAGCCGGGATGTGGCTTCGGCCAGGACAGCTTCAGGGTCTGCTGCGGAGTCTGTGGGAGAGTGATAAGAGGCAGCAGGTTCCCAGGGGAGTCAGGAACCAGGCAGGGGTGGGGAGTCGGGAACCAGGCAGGGGCTGAGATAAGGATGGGTGAAGGGGGACCTAGGGGCTTGCACAGCATTAAAGCCAGGCTTCAATGGGGAGCTTTATTTGCTTTCTGCGTTGTATGAAATGCATAAAACGTCAAAGAAAAGGTTGGAGACTCATCCCTAATCAACCATGCTAATACACTAAACCATTCTTATTTTTCTATTCTCTTCTGCTCTTTGAGTATCAATATACAGCTGTATTTCAGCAGCCACACCACCTGATTTTCCAGGACAATCCAGATGTTAAATATTCTGTCCTATGGTCTCTCTAGAGTTACCATCAACTATTCCACAAAGTATAATATTTTTGGCATCCAAATTGCATGTCTCTGATTGCTTCTTGCATCTGGAAGATACTCAAAAATCCTTTGTCAGCTTGTGAGTCACCATATATATTTTTAATGGCTGAATCATAATGTAGATATAATTTTATATTCAGCTTTTTTCTCAGCATTATACCATAAACATTTTTCCTAGTTGCCATACAGTCTTCATAATCATCATTTTTAATAGTTACATGATACCCCACTGAGTGGAGGTGCCGGAATTTACCTAACCGTGCCCCATCCCTAGGCCTGTAGGCACTAGTGATCTCATAAAGGGATACTGGTTCCCTGAACTTCCTCAGGGAGGGCGAAACCTCCCCTAGAACACCTTGTCCAGGGCTCCCCATCTCCAACATGCGTGTGTGTGTGTGTGTGTGTGTGTGTGTGTGTGTGTATGAAACAAAGAGAGATGGAGAGAGACAGACTTAAACAACCCTGGTAATTCAGGCTATCTTCCTGTGTTTGGAGGGGGAGGGGAAGGGAGAAATGTTTCTAGGAAGTAACCGGCCGGGGCCAGTGTGGACTCACCGATGGCCAGATGGGCGGAGGCAACATGGTAAGTGAGCGTAAGGGACCACAGGTGCAGCTCATGAGTTGCCCGGACTCCTGGCACTGACAACAGTGTATCCCTCACCGGCTCAAACCCCACATTTCGGGGGGTACCTGCAAGCAGCAGCCACTGAGCTTTATTTCTGAGGCCGCTCCTGCCCAGGGGCGGACCCCACCAGACTCCACCTCCCCATCCTGCACCTACTCGCCCAATTGATCCCACCATTCGCCCTGTGCCTGATCCCTCCTTTTGCCCATAGACCCCATGGCCCTAGCCTTCCTCCTCACACTCTCTTCAGAGAAAAGAGAGGCTCCCTGTGTTGGAGTGAGGTCAGAGGGGCCCGAGGGGTGGGGAGCAGTGGCGTTTGATTCACCTTCCATGAGCACGCGAAGAACATCTCGAAGGGTGGGAGCCGTGGACCCAAGAGCACAGATAGAGAAGAGGAAGGTGCTGATGGGGTCAGCTGCTTTGTACTGAGGCTGGAGAGAGAGACACCCCTAAGCCCAGGAACCAGAGAGGAAGATCTAGGGTGGCCTGGACAAACAGGACCTACGAGGCCCCCAAGAACCCTGCCGAGGGGAAAAGGACCATGATTCTGGGCCCAGAGTCCTGGGGAACTGGAGTTGGGGAGGGAGGCTGTAGGAAGGAAGGGATGGTGTGCCGGGTTGCGGGAGGAAGGCTGGGGCAGGCCCGATGGACAGTACCTTGAAGTAGATGAGGATGGAGGCAGCCAGCACCCCAAGGCTCTGCAGGAGATCCCCCAGCACATGCACAAAGGCCGCCCGGACGCTGGTGTTCCCCAGGGGCAGGGGCTCCTCAGGCCCCTCCTCCAGCGGTGCATACTCAGCCCCCCTAGACCCATGGCTGTGGGAGGGCCCAGCCTGGTGCAGCACAAAGGCCATTCTGAGGGGGAAGCAGAGCCGCTCAGCCCGGCAGCTGCTCCCAGCCTCCTCTGCCCTATTTCCACACCTCCTCTCTCCTCCCCAGGAGCTCTTTCTCCACCTATTGTCTCCCTATTTTTCCAGCCCCAGGAAGAAGACAACATTGTCCAGGAGAGAAAAATAATGCAGCCTCAGGGCAAGAATACAGCACTTGGTGCCAGAGATGTGGATTCAGATGCTGGCCCTGCCACTAAATAATTACGTGGCCTAGGCAAGTCACCTACCTGGTCACTTCCCAGGATCTATTGCATTAACTGTATACTAGGGATGATACGACCTACTTCATGGGGCGGCTGTGAGTTTTAAATGAGAAAATCCTGATGAAAGGCCCCAGCTAGAGTGGCTGGTATCAGTAGGCCTTTAACATTGTCTGTTGACTCTAAGTTTTAGGTCTCTATCCCAGTCCCTTCTCTGGCATTCCCTGGGCAGATTGCTGAGAACTGTGTGTGAATTGCTGTGTCTATCAGAGGAGGGGAGGGCCGGCTCTCTCAGCCTGGAGGAGGACCCCTCGCCCTGAGCCCCACGTGGTGCCTGCTCCATACTGGATGGAACATACAGCAGATTGGCACAGACTGCGATGCTGGCGGTCAGCAGCATGGCGCCCCCCTCGATGTGGTAGTCGCTGTGCAGCAGGCGGATGAAGGCCAGGTACAGGAGGATGCCAGTGACCATCCAGAGGGAGACCACAGAGGCCAAAGCCCCCAGAGTCTCTGCAGGGGGAGACAAGCTATCAGAGATTTGCCTGGAACCCTAAGAGGTGCCCTCAGGCAAGCCTGGAGGGTCACCAGGTCATACAGGGACCTTACCTGAGCGGTGCCAGCCAAAGGTCATGGTGCGGGTGGCTGGACGAGTCGAGAGCCAAAGGGAGAAGAGGCTGGCCATCATGCTGCCCACATCGGCCAGCAGGTGGGCTGCATCGGTCATAATGGCCAGGCTGTGTGCTAAATATCCACCTGCAAGGGAAAAAATGTTCTGTCTGGTCCCACAGGGTGTGCGTATAGGCATGGAAAAGAGAGTGGGGGGACATACACCAAAACGTGAACTGTCATTTTTCTCTGATGACGGGATTACAGATAGTTTTTATTTCACCATTCACATTTTCTAGTTTTTCTACAATGACATATTTTAATCGCAAGAAAATACAGCTTTTAAAAGACCAGTTAACACCAAGAAGCCGGCCCTGGCCCTGTGGCCCTGGCCTTTGCCATGAATTCTCCTTGGTCCTGTCTCTCAGCCTCTCTCATTTCCGGAGTCCCGAGCATCCAACCCCCCGCTTCAGCCATCCCCATCTTCTCTGTATCTCCACCCAAGAACGTCCCCGGGACTCTGGGTGGAGAGTGGCTTCGGGAGGATGGAGTCGGAGGAGCTGCTCTTTGACTTACCCACCACCTCCCCGGCCATGAAGACACAGCATACAGCACAGGCAGCACACAGCTGCCTCTGCGCCTGCAGCCTCTCAGGGGTGAGACCCGGCTGTGGCAGGGGGTCCCTGTGGCAGTGGTGGAAGGGCATCTCCACAGGTTTGGGCTCCTCAGGGACGGGTTCTGAGGGTTCTGTGAAGAGACTGAGGCAGGCAACACGGGTCATGTGGCCTGGCCTGTGGGCTGACCTGTTCCTCACTCCCAGGCCCTGGGTCCCACAGACTGTGGCCCAACTAGCTCCTTCCCAAAGCCTAGTCAAATCCGGGACCTTGTGGACAAAGGGCCACATGAGAGGTGAGATCTAAATAAACAGCTCAGATCCCAGGCTCCCTTTTCCTCTCACACACACTTCCCAGCTGGAAAGCACATTAGAGACAGTGTAGTCTGACACGTAAAGGAATTAGAAACATGAGGCTCAGAGAGGGAAAGGACTTATGGAGGCCACACAGCTAGTTAGTGGTAGAGATGAGACTAGATTCCAAACAAATCAATTCATTATGATAGGTACCATAAGGAATACAAAATGAACACTATCATTGAACAAAATCCTTTCTGATCTCTGGGAGCTTTTGGTGGAGAAATGTTAGCTAAATATTATGGGATGTAGCAGAAGGTAGCTATTGCGATTAGAGCAGTTAAAGTGCTATTGGGGCTCAGCCAGAGAGATACATTAACCTAATGAGGAAATCGGGGAAACACGAAAAGAGGCACCGTGAGAAGGGCCTTGAAGGATGAGGAGGATTTTGATAAAGATGAGATGAGCATGCCAGACAAAGGCAATACAAAGGGCAGGTGGCCTGTAAGTGTGGGGTGGGACTCAGCACATGATCCTGGCCTCAATGCCTCCCTCCCAGACCCACCTCCCGTGCCTCCACTCCCAGATCCATCACCTGCTCTCTCTGGACACAGCTGAAGTATGGCCCTTTAAAGGAGGAGTGGAACTTTGGGACCCAAAAAGTCTGAGGTTCCTGACACAGAGAACTAATGGCCAGATTCCAGAGCTGGGTTGTCATGGGAAGGACGGCGTGTAGACTGCTGTGGCTGGCAATGGTAGCAGTAGGAACACTGACTTTGGAATCTGCCACATGTTAGCTGGACCTCAGACTGACCATAAGTAACCAGCAGAGGCCACCTTAACTGTACAGTGCCATAGGATGCCCTTGATGAATGGGGCTGAGGGCCTCACCTGCTGATGCCAGAGGCTAAGCTCAGTCTGACTGAGCTTTAGGTCTACTCTGGCTCAGTTCTCACTCTACTACTATCCAACCTGAATCCCACAAAGGACAGGACCTTCCACAAAATAAAGGACCTAAGTAGAAAAAATACAGTCTTGGAAATACTCACAGATGTGTGACAAGAATACCCATGAGTGAAAATGAAGGCTCCAGATAGAAATGTGATGACAGCAGTAAAGCAGGAAAGGGTGTCTAGGGCCTTCTGGCTGAGGAAAGCTCTGCCAAGTGGGTGAATTAAGGTGTGCAGGAGGTTGGGGGGACATTTGGTGCTCCTCGGGAAAATTCAAGTGCTAGTAGTTAGATTAATTCCTTCCAAGACCTAGAATCTGGCTGTGTATGATTCTAGGTGTGTTTCCAGAGAAGATGAGGAGATGAGGGTGGCTTTGAAACCCATCCTCATTCTTCAATGAAGTGTGCCAAGTATACACATGCTGAAGCCCTGTCCAGTGGGAGAGACAGATGTGTCACAAATGACTTACTATGCAAGGAGAGGTTGGGGCCAGCAGGGTTATGAACAAAGGATTTTGGAGCACAGGGGAGGCAGTGACCAACTCTAATTTGGGGGTGAGGAAAGCTTCACACAGAGAGATGTATAAGATAAGATCTAGGTGGAGAAGGGGAATCTAGACAGACACATGGAATGAATGACAAGATACGCAGCTTGGAGTTCATATGAGGAGCCAGAGGAAGGGCTGAGGAAGAAAGTGATGAACTCCAATGAACATAAGGGAGATACACCGACTGATTTAACAAATCTTTCTTGAGCCCTGAGATGACCCTGCTATTGTACTTGTCTGGGAAGAGAGGAGAGGAGATGGAGGAGTCTGGAAGAGACCAGGCCAGAGTGAAATGTTAGAGGAGGGGCAGGTAGGTAAGGAAGAGCCTCTTTCAGGCAATACTGCAGGATTTGGTGACTAATGGTCATATGAGAATGAAGATGAGCTGGGAGTCAAAGACGTGGGTCTGAAGAGCAAACGGAGGCTGGGTGGCTTTGGGGCAATGGGTAAAATGCCTTTCCTGGTCCTGTAACGCACAATGTAGCCAGTCATCAAGATAGCTACCCATCAACAGGCTGCTTCTTTTTGTTCTGCATGAACTGGGCACTAAAGAACCTCCTTGCTGGTGTGTGGGTGTGTGTGTATGGGGTGGGGGGTGGCACTACATGTTGTTTAGAGAGAAGGTAAGACAGTTTTCTCTCCCTGGCCCTCTGAAATCCCCAACGAACAACAAATAATATTGAGTGGGGTAGAGAGGTGTAGGAAGGGGAGATGGCCTGAAGCAGAGTCAACAGGATATGTGAAGAGATGCCAGGGCCATGGCTGGAGCCCCCACAGCTGCCCACGTCTGCAGTCTCCTGCAGGAAGGAGTCAGACGCGAAGTCTTCCCTCCCTCTGCGCATCCACTCCCCCACCCACCCAGGTTTACAGCCCCTACCCAGAGAAAAGGCCAGAAACACATAGAGACGCCACGTCAGAGACAAAGGGAGAGGGGCTGGAAAGGAAACAGAAATATTGGGAAAGATGAGAAAAGAGACAAATGGACGGTCAGCTAACAGACAAGATGGCCAGCGGAGGTGGCTAGGGAGGGCCTGGCGCGGCCGCTCGGAGAGACAAGGCGGACAGAGCCGGCGGGCAATGGGCGCGGGAGGCCGGCGGGACGCGGAGGCGGTTCTCCCGCCGCCCCCGGCCCGCTGTCCCGGCCGCTCCACGAGCCTCATTTCACACCTCGCCGCCCCCGGCCCCGTCTGTGCGGAGCCGGGAATACCCCCTGCCGCCCAGATCGCACCTGCTCCTTCCTTGCCGCCCCCTCGCTTCCCGGTGCCCGCCCGCCCCAGGAGCCCGGAAGACCCGCTGCGGAGCCCGGGCCCATCCTCGGCCCGGATGCCCATAGCTGGCCACGGCTGGATGGGGCGCCCCGAGCCCGGGCGCGCGGAGGGAGGGGCCGGGGGCCTGCAGATGGGGCTCCGAAAGCCCGGGCGGGAGGTGCTCCCACCGCCAGGGCCCCAGAGCAATGCGGACATCGGGGAACCTGGCGCGGACTCCGGTCCGACGGAGGGCAGTTTCTCGTAGAGAAGACAGACGCGGCGGGGGGCGGCGGAGGGGTCCGGAGGCTTGGGGGGCAGGCCGGGGAGCCGTTTTGCGGAACCGGGAGAAAGAGGGTGGCTGCGGGAGGCGTAGCGGGCTGTTGAGCCGCAGGGGTCGGGGCTGGCTGGCTGGGGTCTCCATGCGGCCGCAGGGGACAGAGCCCCGCGCCGCGAAGCCGAGGGAATCGCGGTGCGCTGGGGCCGCCGGCCGGGGCCGCGCCGAGGGAGACAACGAAATGGACGGATGGCAGGAGGGTGGCGCCCCCCGGCCGAGGACTGACCCAGGCCGGTCCTACCTCTTCAAACGCAGGCCGCCACCAGCGCCGCCGCGGTCCCGGGGGCTCACCAGGCGAGTAGTCTCCGAGCCCCCCGTGGCGGGAGAGGGCTCCATGTCCCCGTGGCCCCGGCCGTCTAGGCCCCACAGAGGGAGAGAGAGGCGGGGCCGGCCCCGTGCCAGGTCTGAACAGGCAGCTGACCCCCGGACTCCCCGCAGGGCCGCGGGGCCACTAGAGTGGAGGTAACTGCGGCGGCTGTGGCGAGTCCGAACTGCAGATCCCGCGGCGGCTGGAGCCCCGCCCCGCGTGGGGCGAGCTCCCCAAGCCCCGCCTCCAGGCTTTTCGGCTTCTCCCCCACGCCTAAGCCCCGCCCCCGCAGCCCTATCCCCATAGCTAAAGCCCCATTGCCCCGCGCCAAAGCTAGGTAGGGGCGGTGGGAGCCGTCTGCGCCCCCGCCGGGTTCTAGGGAACGCCTAATCTCCGTAACCCCGCCCCCTCAGTGGACTAGCCCCGCCCCGCCCAAGCCCCGCCCACCGGTTCCAAGCCAAGTTCCTCGAGCCTAGGAACCTCCCTGACCAACCTTCACCCAAGAAGCATTGTCCCTTGCATGCCCGCGCGGGGGCGTCCCCCACTTCCGCCACTCCATCACTTTGTGGCCCCAGCCCCCCACACAGTCGGGAACAGGTGTGGATCCATTACCTATCTTGAGAACCAGAAAGAATGTGGGGTGAGCAGTGTGGTACATCTGGGAGAACTCCAGGGACTCTGGCCAGAAACCACTCTGTAGAGGATGTGGGGTCAGAATTCGTGAGCAAAATCTGCTGCCAAGCACTGTACCATTCATTATCATTTATATTTATACAGAGATATTGGATGACAAAAAGCTTCTTGCTCTCCTTCAATCCGTTATTATCCCTATTTTTTGGATGAGTAAACTGAGTCCCAGAGAAAGAAGTGTCCAGGGTCGAACAGCCAGTGAATAAAAGGCAGAGG